GGCGGACGTCCCGAGGGCGGAGCAGAGGGACCAAGGGGTTCGGGCGGACGTCCCGAGGGCGGAGCAGAGGGACCAAGGGCGGACCAGGGGAGCCAGGAGGGTCCGGTGGAACAGGGGAGCCCGAGGGCGGACCAGGGGAGCCAGAAGGGTCCGGCGGGCAGCCCGAGCCACGTCTCCTCCGATGGCCACCACGGCCCCAGAGAAGACGGCCAGGCGGGTTCCCTCGAACTGAAGACGGGGGTCAAGCGTGGTGTCGGGCGAACACGGAGAACAACCGGCAGGCCAGGAAACGCTCGGGACAGGCTGGTGGCTAGCAAGCTGGGGATCTGGACCAAACTGGGGGCTAACTAGCTGGGGGTCAGGGCCGAGGTGGGGGCTAGCAGGCCGAGGGACAGGCTGGGGGCTAGCGGCGCTAGCGGGCCAAGGAACAGGCTGGGAGCTAGAGGCGCTGGCAGGCATGGGGGCAGGCTGGGGGCTGGCGGCTGGGGTCTGGCTACACAGGGAAATGCTTCCCAGCCTGCAACTAGCGGGTTGGATAGGAGACCACCGAGGGCAAGCGGGGAGATGGAAAAATCTGGCCAGCCTCTCCGGGACGGCGTCTCTCAGCCAAGGCCTCTGAGAAACTTTTACCTGGCCAAAGGTCAAAAGCGCCAGCTTGTAGCCCGTGTGGGTCGAGCCCCTCCACTTCTCCAACTCCAACAGCTCCTTGCATAGCTGACTAGCTTCCTCCTGATGGGCGGCTGCTGGGTCCATAGTTGGCTTGATCGTTCTGTTACGGGGTGTGGTGTGTGGACAGAGAGGGCCCAAATGCAGCGTTCAGAGGGAAGGAGGTTTATTGGGGGAAAAAAGGGTGAGAGGGACTGGAGTGGAGGGAGAGGAGGACGTCGGGGAAGTACTGGCACGGGGACCCAAGGAGAACGGGGGCCAGGGAGCCGGGGAACACGGGCCAAGGAAGCGAGGAGAGGCAGGGGAACAGGGAGGACGCCGAGAGGGAGGTCCGAAGGGGAGTGGGCCAGTGGATGAGCCCAGCCGAACGGAGGACGAGGGTGAGTGTACCTGGGAGGGAAACAGACAGAGAGACAAGGTTAGGGGGAGACAATGACAAGGCACAGGGTAAGTTTGAAAAAACAAGAAACGAGGAAGCCTGAACACAGGAGTGGCACCAGGTATGGAGCAACGACGATCAAGCAAGGATGGTGTGGAGAACCGGGGTTGAAATACAGGCTGGGATGAGGTTGATGACTGGCAGGTGTGGCAGGCAGACGAGGTGGATGATGGGTTGCAGGTGCAGGTAGTTGGCTGGGCTCAGGAGCAGAGGGAGAGAGAGCACACGGGGAGAAAACACAGAGAGGCGGGCAGAGAACAGGAAACCAAGGGAAAAAGCAGAAAAACTGATAAAAAGTAGAAAAAACCAGGACACTCACCGTCAGCCGGGCTGCCACCACAACATCTTCTGGTATTTTATCAAAAGTAAAGAACTCATTTTGTACATGTGGGATAATATTCTGAACGGTTTCAGATGCATCTTCATCATGTCAAACTCCATCTGTAACGCAGGCATCTGAGTTACGTCTACAAATCCTTTACTTCCCGAAAAGTTGTAGTCGGTGTCTGTGTCATATTTACAATGGTTGTTATCGCCTCTGTAACATTCATTTCTTTCAAGGTTTCTGCTAAAACAATTACATTAGTTGATGTATTAACTCTTTAGTTATTTCCAAGGGCCAAATGACAAATGTCCTCTGTGTATTATTCACTCTTGGAGTGACTACTGTAGTATATTGCTCCTGAACTCCTTTGGTGACTGTTGACACTTCAACAGGCTCTAAATCTTTCATCATAAGCGTCACCTTACGGGTCACATAACCTCGTATCCTATGATTTTGAAACGGAACAAGTTTAAACTCTGGCTTTAAATAAGCACAACTATATTCCCCATGGTCTTCCCAGGTAGCATTACACAAAAACAAGTGAACATTCACCCACAATTTTCCACCGCCTCATATCATTAAGCAGAGAATACTTTCTTTGACTAGGGGGTACACCCCCCGGTCCTGATAACAACACATCTTTACCGCGACGAGGCATATTACCACCCGTATTCCATTTCTCACATTTACAAGGAAGATATGCCGAACCTCCAAACTTAACCTTAACCACAGTAGACAATGAAGTTGGTGTTGGCGAAATCATCTGAGGCGCCACTGTAGTCAAATGTGTTACATTCATACTTTTAGAGACTGTTGACGATACAAGAGTAGAGTTGCTTCTTACTGCTCCTGCATCAGGCTGAAGTGTTGATGTTACTGTTGTTGACTTTCCTATTTTTTCTACCTCTTGGATCTCTTTTACTGTTATTCCCATCTATCACCACCAGGGTCACTACAAGTCCCGGCTCTAATCCCTCGCTTTCAAACTGATCACCTTGATCCTCCTGCTGGGAATCATACACATAAAGACTGCAATCACCTTCCATCTCCAGTCAGTCCACTGAACTCTAAAATTCCCTTCACCGCTATTTTCTCTCATACACTGACATGGGAGCTAAGCTGACTTTCCTAGAGGTACTTCAATCCTAGTTTTCGTATCGTTTTGGTCTGACTCTTTTCCGAACTGGTCTGGGGCAGTTTTGTCTAAGTGGAACACTGGCTTCTCCTGTAACAGAGGTGCAGCCCTTGGTGACCTCTGCGGTTTCACCTTCCACTGAAATAGGCTCTGCTGATTCTGGGACACATTGAAAACCAATGTCCCCAAATCTCCTTTCCTCTCCATCAATTGCAGAGTCATATCTGGCATCATCAGAAGTGGACACATGATTATCAACATTGTCCACTGAATGGACAATATCTCCTTCTGGGTTTTGGTTCTGGATATTATCATGCATCTCTCCTTCTGCCTGTTCTTCCCTATTGTCATCCGGCTCTCTTGAGCCTTCACCATCTTGGCTGTCCACTCGTGGCACCTCTTTAACACAATGTGATAAATGATACCACGTTGGAGACCCTTTAACCTGGACAGCTGTTCCAGTACTACGAACCACTTCAAATGGTCCCTCACGGCGTTCGTTATACCACTTCCTCCTAAAGACCTTCACGAACACCTTGTCCCCAGGCTGCACTGTGCTCCTTTTTTGCTCATCAAGCTTCTCCTGCACCTCTTCTCTCCTTTGCCTGTCAGAAACATATGTGGATAATTTTTTATGGAAATTGGCCATGTATGTGACATACGCTCTCATTTCGTCTTCTAAAAGAGCCAAACTTGGACCCTTGCCGCTTGTTCGTAAACAAGGCGTAGGCATCCGTCTTCCTGTGACCAATTCATGAGGCGTTATGTGTAAATCACGCAGCTCACTGGAGCGACACATCATTAACGCCAAAGGGAGCGCCGCTATCCAGTTTAGACCCGTATGTTGGCAAATCTTGACAACACGGTTTTTCAAAACACCATTCATTTTTTCACAAATCCCTTGACTTTGTGGGTGATAAACTGCTCCAAGACGTTGTTTAATTCCCAATTTTTGCAAAATCAATTTCACTGTTTTATCCACAAACTCTTTCCCATTATCTGAGGATATTCGATCTGGAAGTCCCCACCTGCTTATGACCTCTCTACACAAAAACTTGGCAACCGACTGAGCGTCTTTCCGCTTGGTTGGACAGGCCTCCGGCCATCGTGAAAATCTATCCACAACCACTAGCATGTATCTTTTCCCTTCAACTGGGTTTATCATATCGACAAAGTCAACAACCAACTCACGCATAGGGAATGTAACCAGGAGGAACAGTCACACCCCTGCGGACATTATTTTTCAGACAGATTGTACACCTGCCTACGACATAGTCAATCTGTTCAAGCAAATATGGTGCCCAAAAACCATACTCCTTTGTGATTTTTCTCCTGACCTCCCCCCTGACAACATGAGCTAACATTTCAATAAACACAAGAAGAAGAAGTTGGAAAGAAATAAATCTGACGGTGACGTGCTTATCCCCATCATATTAGAATGCAAAAACACAAACATGCCACCATAAGTGACCTAAACTTTTCACTGTCGTCTTTCTCACCAGATCCATTCCCTCCCACAGCAACCTTAAATCCAGGGAAGCAATTTAAGGATGAGGAACTAGAAAAGAGAAACTGGTGAATTTGCAAGTAAATAGTCAAACGATAACTTATCTCTGGAGGATAATTGAATTCAATTCAATTCAATTCAATTCAATTCAGTTTTATTTATATAGCGCCAAATCACAACAACAGTTATCTCACAGCGCTTTTCATAAAAGAGCAGGTCTAGACCGTACTCTATGATGCTATTTACAGAAGCCCAACAGTTCCCACCAAGAGCAGCACTAGGAGACAGAGGCAAGGAAAAACTTCCTTTAAGAGGCAGAAACCTCGAGCAGAACCATGGCTCAGGGTGGGCGCCATCTGCCTCGACCGGTTGGGGGTGAAGGAGAGAGAGAGAGGGAGAGAGGGAGAGAGAAGAGAGAGAAAAAGAGAGAGAGGGAGAAAAAGAGAGGGATGTAAGGAGAGCGAGAGGGGAGGGAGGCAGCCTACACAATATCCACACAGAGGTACAGACAGTAAAGGTGATGTTGCTATAGACTAAATGAAAAATGGTACAGATATTTATAATAGTGTTAATGGTAACAATCGTAATGTTAATGATTATAATAACAATAATAACAATAAGACTAGTAACAATAGTCGTTGCAGCAGAGGGTGTCGAGCAGGAACACGGGGGCAGCAGGTGACACCAGTGGATAACTGGTGCTTATCAGTGTGTGGAGAGGGTCTGAACGCTTATGATCCAAAAGAGTGTAACAATACGCTCTGCAAAGTGCAGATGGGTTTGCAGGAAAACAGAAAAGTGAGGAATATTGAAAACTGGGAAGTTGAGGTCGAAGCCCTGACCAAAGTTTCACATCAAGATGAGAATCACAGCTCGACACAAATGAAGAAGTTGGCCTGCAGCTGGACATAAAGTCTCACAAAGTGCCGTTTATAACAACTTCCTGTCAGACTCACTGTGGTTGTGGGCAAGGCTTCATTCTTCCTTTTTAACTTACTTACTTTCACTTATACTGCTGACTGTCGCAGCAAGAAATCCAGTAGGTGAGTAAACTCCAGCAAAACCAGATCCATAAAAATCTTAGAGTCAAAGTATTTTCTCTGTGTTGTTGGTGGGTCAGTGGAGCTGATGATAGAACTGCAGCAGGTTCCAGATTCACATTATTAACTGTAAAATCATCGAACTTCCTCCCGTCAGTCGGCTGTTCTCATCAGACTCACAGCTTGTTATTATCACACTAACTTCACTAACTGATGGTTTGTGTGTTTTGGTCTGAACCGAGAGTCCTGATCTGTTTTCAGTCCGTTTCATCTCTAAAGTCTCTGAAATGAGGAGATTTACTGAGAGAAAAGTTTCTGTCAACATTTAGGACAAAGTGAGCAGAAGACGCCATTTCAGATATCATGAGAGGAGGAAGTCAGTTAGTTAGTGCTGATCAGACATGTTTTCTACACTGTTTTCTTTTTTATTAAGGAAGAGAGCAGAGATGAAAGATTAAATAACAGATTAAATGAATTTTCTGTTTTGCATCTGCTGACCGCTGATAGTTTTTTGGTTATTCAGTCGTTAAAAAAAAGGTGAGAGATGCAAACCACCTGATAATTACTGGACCTAGATACTAAAAAAAAGAATTCTACCAAAATATGCAGCATCTGAATTTAGTCAGGTAGTCTTTCTTACCCCCGTTTCAAAGACTGAACAACAACAACAACCACGTATATGTTTTTTCAATTAGTTTTGTTTTGCACCTCCTTGTCTCATCCAGTTCTATGTCAAAAATGTTGTGCAGACGCAAAATCTAAGTCAGTGAGAGAATCATTCTGCCTCAGCATCATGTCTTTGTGCTGGGTCCGGCCAGAGGACTTCCATCACATGCAACCTTGTCCCTTTCCCAGCAAAGGAGGAAAACCCTCGGGTGTGCCGGACGCAGCCTGACTGTAACAACACTCCACACCTATCTCACCACAGGCCAATTCCATTGCCTGTAAGAGATTTTCCGTAGTAAAATAGTTTCAGCCATAGACCTTCCACCATCAGGCAGAGAAAAATTCTTCTGTTGGATTGAAGTAAGGGCTTTAGGTTGAAGGTAAACATTCTCGCACGTGTAGCACGTCAAGGTGTGAGGCGGCCGCGTTGCAGATTCTGGAGCTCTGAAAGTGTGGCTATGAATTTGCCATGTGCTTCGTATGCTGCACAAATGTGTTAATCATCACTTCCTGTGTCCCCTTTATGGCACTACATAGCACTACGACTATAAATGAACACGTAGATGTGTTCGGGGCAGGACTGTTATCGAGCACGTAAAGTTCAGTGCAGATGTGAGCATGTACACTGAAGTTGAAACAACTTCCTCTTTCATGGCAAATCATTTATTTTGGACGCCATGCCACGGGCACACCGTTTCATGAAAACTCACAGTTTGTACAACTTTTAATTGTCTTTAGAGGAGACAGGGAAAATCTGAAATTGGTCGCACCAATTCTCTAGGAGGAGTTTTTTAAAGTACGGAGTGTGTAAAAATCCAAAAATAACCATAAAATTCAAAATGGCCGACTTCCTGTTGGGTTTGGGGCATTGCTCCAAGAGGCTTTTTGGTACGTCTGGACATGATACATGTGCCTCAGAAATTTCATACATATAAAACGTGCGGCGGGGGCTGCTTCGTTAAAGGTCACTTCCTGTTGCCAGCAGGTGGCGCTATGACTGTGGGTGAATGTCGGCATGTACATGTGTTCAGGGCGGGACTCTCATCCTACATGTACAGTTTGGTCCAGATGTGAGCATGTACACTGAAGTTACGACAACTTCCTGTGTCATGGCGAAGAGTTTACCACCGCCATACTGTTAACTGCAAAGTCATGAGTTTTACAACAGGGCTCCATCAATGCGTTATATTGATATGTCCAACCTGTTGAGAGTAGTACATTATGGCATAAAACGTGTCATTTCCTGTTGCCAGCAGGTGGCGCTGTGACGTTGAGTGAATATTGGCGTGTGCATGTGTTCAGGGCGGGACTTTAATAGTACTTTCCAAATTTGGTACAGATGTGAGCGTGTAGACTGAAGTTATAATAACTTCCTGTTTTATGGCCAATCATTGATTTTTGACGCCATGCTACGGCTATGCCGTTCCACGAAAACTCACCGTTTGTACAACTTTTAATCATCAATGGGTTTAGAGTGCACAGCAAAAATTTGAAGTTGATCGGACTAATTCTCTAGGAGGAGTTTGTTAAAGTACGAAGTGTGTAAATCGCCAAAAATGACCATTAAATCCAAAATGACCAACTTGCTGTTGGGTTTAGGCAATGGCTCTAAGAAGCTTTTTTGTTCGTCTGGACATGATACACGTACCACAGAAATTTCATACACATAGGTGAAACCTAGTCCAGGGGCGGCTCTGTAGGCGGCGGTAGCGAGCCATTTTGCCAAGCCCATATGGAAAACCCATAAAATACGAAGTTTTTCGCCACTTTTTTGTGAATTTTGTGCAATTGAGTTTTCGAGTATGTTGTTGAGCCCCCCCAAAATTGAGATTACTTTGCAGGAAAAAGAAAGAAAGGAAGAAAGAAAGAAAGAAAGGAAAAGAAAAGAAAGAAAGAAAAAAGAAAGAAAGGAAAGGAAAAGGAAAAGAAAAGAAAAAGAAAGAAAGAAAAAAAGAAAGAAAGAAAGAAAGAAAGAAAGATAATAATCCCTTCAGTTTTAAAAGGGACCTTGCACGGTTCGTGCTCGGGCCCTAACAAGCAGAATCCAAAAGGGCGAACTCAAACAATAATGTTCAAGAAACAGTGAATATAAGTCTAAACACACAGGCTGAGAACAAACTGGCAGAGCAGGCTGATGAGCAGGACATGGAAACGATCCAATGATCCAGACAGAACAGAACAGCTGGCAGTGTATACAGGGCTAATGAGCCGGCAGAGAATAAACAGTCGAGACGCATCAGGAAATGAATACAGTGGAGACACAGACAGGAAGCAAAGTCAGACATGACAGGCAGATATCCTGACTAATTGACAGATGCAGACAACTCTCAACATATTACAGAAACAGGCGATGGACAAAACTTGCAGACCAAAGGAGTTTGTCCCTGGTCAGCCTGCTCTCCAGACAAAGCATCTGTTGGCCCCCTGGGTCTTTACAGACTTTTATTCCTGCATTCTTGAGAATTTTATGCAAGTAGAGTACATCACTAAATGAAGCTTTAAAATACATTTTCAAAACTAGAAACATCCCTCTAACACTCCTAAAGTAAAGTAATCACTTCAGCTGAGCCCTTGAGTAGATAAATAAATAAGCCATATCGTCATCATGCTTCCCATAAACTGCTGCTTTGACTCTGTTCTGCTCTTGACCTCATTTCTGCTGCCTGTGTCATGTTCACCTTGTCAGCGCTAGTACTGGTGCTGCTGGCCAGTGGCAGGTAGAGTACTCAAAATCTTTACTCAAGAAAAATGATAACAATATATTTTATCTGCTGTTCATCAGGTTCAAAACAGCTGCGACATGGTTGTTTCTAGGGAATGCAATTTGCTTTGCTGGTTGATTATCTTTAGCTGTTTCTGTTTAATAATTACTTTCCTTTTTAAATCTCCATGAATGTGTTGATAAGATCACTTTAAAATATCACGCTTGCTGCCCAGCCGACTATTGTTGCCTGTAAATTTTATTATGGACATGTAGCCAACCAAACCACTTGCTTTGCAGCAGCACAGGCTGCCAGTAAAATCTGATTATTCCTAAAGCATCTAAGTAATCTTTAGAACAAAGAATGATTGTGGCAGTAACCTTGTTGAAGCAGGTAAAGCTGCACACAGAGGAAGCTGCGCGTCATGCGTAAAGCCCAACAGGACTGTTTTATTCACAATATTTCCTCTCTGTGCATCTGAAAAAATGATTGTTTCCTGAATAAATGACAGCTGGTAGCTGCAAACTGAAAGATTAGTTTCACCGGCCACATCCTGTTTATCGACACACATCGCTATTAAACAGCAGGCTATGAAAAGAAACAGGTTGATATCCATCAAAAGAAAGCGATGCTCTTGTCAACAACAGGATACTGTTAATATATCAGAATCATTGTAGTGATGTTACAGAGTGTAGTTTGCTCTGCAGAGACTAAAGACGCTTTAATGCTCCGTTAATGGAAAGTGAAAGTTAAAGTTAAAGCTCATTCATATCTGTGATAAGCGCCCGTCTCTGTACCGCAGAGGAGACCTGCGCTCTTCTGCGTAACTGCGCGCACGCAGCCTGGCTGGCAGCTCATTCGGTTAACGAAGCCTAATGCAGATTACAGACTGGTGAAGTTATGAAGGTATGAATGGAAATTGTAGTGAAATTAAAAGTAGATTACTGGCCCACAGAAAATACTGGAGAAAAGTAGGCTACAGTTTAAAAACAGGAACGTGAAAAGGTGCCAATTACTTTTTTATTTTATTTATTTTGCAATATTACGTTACTTGTAACACGTCACTTCCCTCCCTGCAGCAGGAGTCCCCACTGCTGTCTTCAGGTACAAAAAGAACAGCACAAAATAAACACAATATTGAGGCACTTTGCCGCACCTGCCTCGAGCTAACTGTTTTTTTCTCCCTTAACTTTTCAGCACCGCATTTGCGTTGTTTTTTAATAAACACACACACACAAACACACCTTACTGTTGTATTTATTTATTTTATTTTTAATAGATTTTTATTTTTTAACACACAAACACACGCTTACTGTTGTATTTATTTATTTAATTAAAATTTTTTATATATTTTTATTTTTTAACACACACACACACACACACACACACACTTACTGTTTTATTTATTTATTTTATTTAAATTTTTTATATATTTTTATTTTTTAACACACACACACACTTACTGTTTTATTTATTTATTTTAAATATATTTTTATTTTTTAAACTCACAGACACACACACACACACACACACAAACACACCTTACTGTTGTATTTATTTATTTTATTTTTAATATATTTTTTTTTTAACACACACGCTTACTGTTTAATTTAGTTATTTTATTTGTATTTTTAA